TGTGGTAAACTCTGGAGAATAAATGACCAGTTTCTTCAATAAAGAATTCAAGGGAGAAAAAGTGGGAGCACCTATCAATTGATTAAAAGAGACATGAGACATATAATCAAATGTTTTGTTTTAAATTTGTTTAGATCTGATTTGAAAAAAATCACTGAAAAAATTTGTAAGACTATCAGGGAAACATGAACAGTGTATTTAATGATGTTAAGGAATTGTTATTAAGTTTTAGATATAATGATGAAATTGCAGTTGAATGTTTAAATATTCAGAAAATGTCTTTATCTTTTAGAGGTGCATGTTAAAAGAGATGAATTGATATGATATCAAGGATTTCCTTCAGAATAACACATTTGGGAGTGAGTTAGGGTGTCAAGAAACAGATGAAGATGATTTGTGTTAAGCATATAATTAATTATTGAAACTTGGTTCTGGATACATAGGTATTCAATACACTATTTTTGTCTACTTTGAGTATGTTTAACATATTTCACAAAAGAATATATTATTCAAAGATCATAGCAAAGGAGATCTTTAACTTAATATTGAATAATGTCTCATTTCAGGAAAGTCTTTGAAGGAGACTGAAAGGGCATTAGAAGTAATGTAGTCCAATCTTTACACTCTCCTCTTCTTTTGGACACAAAGCAAACGAACAGTTGAAGTCCAGAGATGACACATGATTTACTCCCAAAGTAATAACTTCTAAGGTTAAAGAACAAGACAGCAGTGGGAGAAGTTAGGCTTAAGGTGACATCCTTGTGCTATTTCCTCTCTTTTGTTGCTAGGTACTATAGAATTGTTTCTGACTCATAGTGACCCTAAGTAGAACAGAAGGAGACACTGTCTGCTCCTGCACATTCCTCACAATCTTTGCTATGTGTGAGCCCATTGTGTCAGCTCATCTCATTGAGGGTCTTCCTCTTTTTTGTTGACCCTCTACTTTACCAAGCATAATATCCTTCTCCAGGGACTGGGCCCTCCTGATAACATGTCCAAAGTACATGAGATGAAGTCTCACCATCCTTGCTTCTAAGGAGCACTCAAGCTGTACTTCTTCTAAGACATATTTGCCATTCTTCAGGCCAGTCCATGGTATAGTATAGTCCATATTCCCAGCTAACATCATAATTCCAATGCATCAATTCTTATTCAGTCTTCCTTATTCATTGTCCAGCTTTCATATGCATATGAGACTATTGAAAGTACCATGGCTTAGGTCAGGTGCACCTTAGTCTTCCAAGAGACATCTTTGTTCTTCAGCACTTTAAAGAGGTCTTTTGCAGCAGATTTTCCCAGTATAATATGTTATTTGATTTCTTGATTGCTTGCTTCTATGGGCACTGATTATGGATCCAAGTAAAATGAAATCCTTGACAACTTCAATCTTTTCTCCATTTATTATGATTTTGCTTATTGGTCCAGTTGTGAGGATTTTGTTTTCTTCATGTTGAGGTATAATCTATATTGAATCCATACTTTGATCTTCATCAGTAAGTGCTTCAAGTCCTCTAAGCTTTCAGAAGCAAGGCTGTATCATCTGCATGTAACAGGTTGTTAATGAGTCTTTCTCCAATAATGATGCTATATTCTTCAGACAGGCCAGCTTCTCAGATTATTTGCTCAGCATACAGATTAAGTATTGTGAAAGGATACAACCCTGATGCACACCTTTTCTGATTTTAAAGCATGCAGTATCCCTTTGTTTTGTTTAAACAACTGCCTCTCGGTCTATGTACAGGTTCCATATAGCATGATTAAGTGTTCTGGAATTCCCATTCTTCACAATGTTCTTCCTTCCACTTGCTTTAGCTACTCTCCATTCAAGAGCAAGTTTCAGAATTTCTTCTGACATCCATTTTAGTGTTTTATTTCTTTCCTGTCTTTTTAATGACTTTTTGCTTTCTTCATATATGATATCCTTCATGTCATCCCACAACTCATCTGGTCTTTGGTCATTAGTGTTCAATGTGTCAAATCTATTCTTCAGATGGTCTCTAAAGCTCTGGTAGCGTACTGCCTAAGGCACTTGACTGCTAACCAGAAGTCTGGCAGTTCAAACCCACCAGCCACTCCTTGGGAGGAAGGTTGGGCAATCTACTTCTGTAATGATACCGCCTCGGTAACCTAAGGAGGCATTGCTATGAGTCAGGTCTGACTTCACGGCACAAAACAACAACAACATACTCAAGTTAGGCGCTCTGGTGGCATAATGCCTAAGGCATTTGACTGCTAACCAGAAGGCTGGCAGTTCAAACCCACCAGCCACTCCTTGGAAGGAAGGTTGGGCAATCTACTTCCATAGAGATACTGCCTTGGAAACCCAAGGAAGGGTTGCTATGAGTTGGATCTGACTCGATGGCAATGAGTTTGTTTTTTGGTATACTAAGTTTTTTTTTTTGGTTGTTGTTTTTGTATACTTTGGCTCTCATGGACTTTGTTAAATTTTCTTCAGCTTCAACTTGAACTTGCATGTGAGCATCTGAAGTCTGTTCTGCAGTTGTTCTCTGGTCTTGTTCAGGCTGATGATATTATGCTTCTCCATCATCTCTTTCCACAGATGTAGCAATTTGATTCCTGTGTATTCCATTTGGTGAAGTCATGAGTACAGTCACCGGTTATGTTATTGAAAAAGGGTACAACTGATGAATAGATTGTTGGTCTTGCAAAATTCTATCATGAGATCTCCAATGTCATTTCTATTACCAAGGACATAGTTTCAAAATATTGAACCTTCTTATGTGTTTCCATCTTTTTCATTCCAATCACCAGTAATTATCAATGCATCTTGATTGACTGTTTGGTCAATTTCAGACTGCAGAAGTTGGTAAAAATCTTTAATTTCTTCATCTTTGGCATTAGGGGTTGGTACATAAATTTAAATAAGAGTGGTATTAACTGGTCTTCCTTGCAGGCATATGGACATTATCTTATCATTGACAGTGTTGTATTTCAGGTTAGATCTTGAAATGCTTTTTTTGATTATGAATGTGACACCTTTCCTCTTCAAGTTGTCATTCCCAGCATAGATTATATGATTGTTCTATTTAAAATAGCCAATACCAGGCCATTTCAGCTCATTAATGCCTAGGATATCTGTCTTTAAGTATTTCATTTCATTTTTGACAACTTTTAACTTTCCTGGCTTTATACTACATAATTCCATGTTCCTGTCATTAATGGATGCTTGCAACTGTTTGTTCTCATTTTGAGTCATCCCTGCTGTTGTATTTCCCCCTATACCATATATTATTGTGATTTACTTTTGTTTTTCAAAGCGAAATTATTACAAAATTTAATATTAAATATATCCACACTGCCTTCTAGTACCCCACTTCCTGTTTCAAGCTAGATAATTTCTCAAAGATTTCTAACCTTTTCCTAAAATAAAGCCTGCAGTATGCATGGAAGTATAAAAATGTCAGTTGAGGGCTGTATCTAGCTGGTCTTTGAACTGATTCATTTCCGTTCCCTGCTGATAATTTGCCTTTCCACCCCAGATACACTAAATCAGAATGTGCAGTTTAACAAGATCTCCAGGTGAGGCATAGTGCCTAAGGCCTTTGACTGCTGATCAGAAGGCTGGCTCCTCCGAAGGAAGGTTGGGCAATCTATTTCCATAGTGATACAGCCTCAGAAACCCAAGGAGGGGTCGCTATGAGTTCGATTGGACTGGAAGGCAGTGGGTTTGTTTTTTGGTTTCAGGATACTTACTTGTAGATAAGAAATCACCTGGGGATCTTGTTAAACTGTACATTCTGATTAGTACGTCTGGGGTGGAAATGCATATTCTCCACGGGGTTTGAATCGGAATGAACATTTGAAGCACTGGTATCTAGTCATCCTGCTTCATTTGAAACTTGAGTTATTTGTTTACTGTGTGGTAGAGGACACAACCTACACTTTTCTTTGTCCTAACTACGTGACAGTATTTTCGTTTCAGGGTAATTTCTAATGTACAGAAACTTCTGAGAGTTTTCGGAGGCGCTAACGTAAATAATTATCGTATTGATACGGCTGGTTTTCACAGTTTAACAACTTAAAGTCCTGAGAGAGAACAACTAGGTGGTTTTCGAGTTCATATTTGTCAATTTTTTCTGTGACTTAATTTTTTTCCCTTTTTTTTTCTTTCATTACATTTTTGGTAAAAGTTTTTACAGAAAATTAGGTTCCCATTTGACAATTACTATTCATATTGTTCGAGTGGCATTGGTTACATTTTCCACAACGTGTGTGACTTAATTTTTTAAGCAATATTCATATTCAGGACCTGAACAGAGCTACTTTCTTTTTAAATTCTCACTGATAATATTTCCTAGTTTGTGTTTCCAGCATAAAACAGAGAATATGCTACATTCACACTCCTTACATGGAGTTACTGGCTTCTCGCAGCGTTTACTGCAGTAAACTGCGTCTGCGCACCTGTCGCCCCTCCCCCCGCCAAATCGCCCGCCTTTCTCTGTCCTCTGTCTCGCTAGTAGGGGGCGCTGTGAGGTAATGGACTATTCTTTTCCCCAGGGATCTGGAACCGTGGTAAAAGGTCGCGAGGTAAAGCGGGCTGGGAGGCGTTCTATCCTCAACTGCCCTGGACTCTATCACCCTTTGTCCTCCAGCCTTCCGCTGGCTCTGGGCCTCCGGGCCTGGTTGCTAGGCGGAAGCAGGGCGGCTGCCCGGGCGTTTGAAAAGCGGCTACGCAGGCGGCAAAAGGTCCTCGGGCGGCGGGCTCTGCACTGTCTGCTCACAGGCCCGGCTGCGGAGAACTTTTGTCTTGGGTTGGGGTTGGGTTAGGGGCTGAGCTGGCGGCCCTGGGCAGGGAATACGGGCGCGCTGCAGTCAGCAGCGGTGCCAGGCCGCGGAGTGGGGTCCGGAAGTCAGGAACTCAGGGCGGGTGGGCGGCGGGGCCGCCGCTGGGAGCCTCACTAGGGGCCCTAGGCTTCCCGCGACTCACACGGGCCCCTCTTTCTTCAGCAGAGCCCGCCTGCAGGCCGGCGACGGCGACCATGGTCTCCAAGTCCGACCAACTGCTCATCGTTGTGTCCATCCTCGAAGGTGAGAGGCCTCAGACTTGCTTTTTCTACTACTTAGTGCTTCCTGATTTTTAAAAGAGCAATGTGGGACCAAGACGTTATTAATCTTAAAAACCCTGTCATCTTTGCTTTTGTAGTCCCCAAAGACTTGTTCAAAGTTGTGAGTAGTGAGGTCTGTTAGGCGATTGATTTAGCAATTTCGCATGGGAGCATGAGAGCTAATAGGAATAGGTGGTATTTAATGTGACTGACCGTAGTCTCAGAGAATCTAGGAAAAAACGATTTCCATGAGCTCTTCAGCGGCTTTTTGGTAATATCATATGTAAGAACTTTGCTTTTGGCTGGAATACATATTTCTTGCAATTTTAGAAGTATTTCGGAAGCTTTTATCTTTATAGATCTTAGATGGCTGCAGTGCTTATGTTGGTCGGATATGTTGTTGTTGTTAAGTGCCGTCAAGTCGTTTCCGACTCATAGCGACCCCATGCAAGCAGAACGAAACACTGCCCGATCCCGCGCCAGCCCCACAATCCCTGCTATACTCGAGCCCATCATC